GCCTCGCGGTGTTTGGCTTCCGGCCGGGCACCGTGCCGCCGGTCGCGCATCGCCTCTCCTTCCCGCTCGTCCTCGACGCAGAATGCGCGGCGAGCGCGTTGCCGCTGCTGGCGGGCGGGGGCGACTTCGGCACGCTCGTCCCTAAATGTCCGGGGCGTGTGATGTGGAGGACTCGGCTGCCCAGTCCTGGCGTGCATGGTTCATTAGGCACACTCCTCCGCGTCGAGGCGTCCGCTCTCACACCGCTGCCCTCCCGAGTCGTATTCTCAGTCTCAGTCTCAGTCTCAGTCTCGTCTTCTTCTGACAGGCGTCCGCTCTCACATCGCTGCCCTCCTCGTCCGTCGCCGAGATCGCCGAGGCCGCGGCTGCGGAGCCGCAGGGCCTCTCCGACCGCCCAACAGAAGCCCCGATGTCCTTCCGCTCTCGCCTCGCCGGCGCGGCGTCGGCGTCGGTGGCGCCCCCCGAGCCACCGGAGAGAGAGCCGGGGGAGAGCAGGGCGGTCGAGTCGGGCGTCTCTGCCGCGGCGAAGGAGCGCGTGCGGCTCTCCCTGCTGCAGCTCGGCGGCATGCGCGATGCGGCCGGGGGGGAAGCGGCTGGGCTGGCGGCGTGCAGGGGAGACGGCGAGGCGTGCGGCTCGGTGCCCTCTCGCGCGGCATCCTTTGTAGAGGGGGCTGTTGATTACTAATCATTAACCGTTAATAACTAATAGGTGCCCTCCCGCGCGGCGTGTTTGCCGGGAGGGGGGCACGGCGGCCGCCCCGCGCTGTCCGTCGAGCCTCGGTGCGACGCGACGAGGGTGGCGGCGGCTTCCTTTTGGGTGAGGCACTCCTCATGTGGCTGGTCGCGAAGCAGGTTCGTCGTCGACGCGATGATGGGGCGGCTGCTGCGGTGGCTGCGAGTGCTCGGCGTGGACTCGCTGCTGAGGGAGGAGGGCGAGTCGCTCCATGCACTCTTCGGCCGGTGCCAGGCGTCTGCTTAGTGAGTGATCCATCGTCCCTCACTCTGCGGGCTGCTCATCCCGAGGCTCTGTTCATACTTCATTATTCACGAGTCGTCAGTTATTCACTCATTCAAGCCGGCGCCAGGCGGAGTCGCGCATCCTGCTGACCCGCGACCGGAAGCTCGCCGAACGAAAGGGCTTGCGGCATATAGCCGAGATATAGCCGAGATCTAGCCGAGATCTAGCCGAGATCTAGCCGAGATATGACGAAAGGGCTTGCGGCATGGCCGCCGCCTCTGTCGACAGTGTGAGCAGCGCACTCACGCGCCCCCTCCGCTGTGGACAGGCTGCGGCATGGTCGCCGTCTTCGTCGTCTCTTCGGACGAGTCGCGCGAACAGCTGAGGTAGAGGAGCCTACTCTGCACCGTGATGATGCACCGTCTGGCTGCATCCACTTTCAAACCAGCCGCCACATCCGCCTCCCTCACCGCCACACCCGTCTGGACGTACCGCTTTCACAGCCGCCGCCACACCCGCCTCCCCTCACCGCCACACCCGCCTCCCTCACCGCCGCCCCTACCGCACGCGCCGCAGGGAGGTGGTGGCGCACTTCGGGCTCCGCCTCTCGGCGGACGAGTTCATGATGCGCTGCAGCGTGTGCAACGGCCGCGGCTACGTCAAGCTGAGCAAGGCGGAGGTGGCCGGCCGCGACGACTGCCCGCCAAAGGTGCTCGAGGCGATCGACGAGTTCTACGCGTGCCGCTCGTGCGGCAAGCTCTACTGGGAGGGACCAAAGTCAAACAACGCCTTCGAGCACTTTACGAGCGTCTTCGACGGCTTCGGCCCCAGCACGGGGTCGGGACTGTGACCTCCTTGGTCGACGGGCGTTGGTTTTCACACTGAGGTAAATCAATAAACTTCTCCACACACACGAGGTGGTGGAGGCGACCCTCGCGTCTCCACGTCTAGACGACAGGAGCCCCACGGCATTAAAAGTGCATGTGTGTGTCTCGCGCCTTGCCCTTGGCGCTTGGCCCTTGCGGGGGAGGGTGGAGCGGAACCGGAAGTGTGCAAGGCCCAGCTCTGCGAGTCGTACGACTGGTGTGTGTCGTCGTGCTCGTGGTTTCTCGAGGGGGCAGAGGACGCGATTGATTGATAGGAAGGCGAAACACAGTCCGACCAACGACTGGGACACCAACGCGGTATGGGTGGACGCAAGACGGGCGGTGACGGCCACACAGGAGCGACACACAGAACCACAAGACAAGACACTCAGCCACGACGGGGCTGCCACACATCCTGAGCGACCTTCCCCAGTTAGTCACCCGCGGCCGGACTCCATCCGGCACGCGTCGCTGGGCGCTCAGAGCTGCGTCCCCTGCTCGCCACCCCGACGCCCAAGGCGCCCGAGCGAACGACAGGCGGCACGCGAAGACTGATTGATTGCAATCCCGCCAGGGCCCCCGGAACAGTGTGTCCGAGTCGAGGCGTGTGCTTGCCGGTCGACGGCCGCGCGCGATTGGGTGGACGCGGGAAGAACACGCGCCCAATTCGCGCGGGAACGTTTTGCACCGGGCGTTGAGCTGCAATGGCGCGAGCGGAGATTGACTCCTGGCGCGAGCGGCTGTCGACCCTGTCTCGCGAGGACCTGCTCGGCATCGCGAGCGCCGCGCTCGTCGCCAACAGCGCCCTGGCCACCGGCACCGGCGAGGCTGACGCCACCTCCGACGCCGAGGTCAGGCGCCGCCGACGAATGCGCCGCAATGAGCGACGGCTCCTAAGGCGGATGTCGAACTTGACCGTGGCTCAGGCCGGCGCGTGCTCTGTCGACGAGTCTCGACTGCTCGCACTCGGCGCCGATGTCCTCTGCAACGTGGCACTCCACGTGCATCAAGACTCACAACTCCCCCTCGCGCTTTGCTGCACTGCTGGATTCGATTCTGTCCGGGCGGCTTTGGGGCTCTCTCGGTCCGCCGGCGGGCCGGGCAGGCTGATGACCCGCGTCGGCTCTATCATCGGACGAACGCCGGCATACACGGAGTGGGCGTTGAGCGTGGGGTGCCCGGCAGCGAGCGCCGTCTCTGCAGCAGCACGAGCCGGCGATCTCGATGCGGTCATGTGGCTTCGCCGGCGGGGCTGCCCCTGGACGGCCGGGGCGGAGCAGGCGGCGGCGGAGCAGGACATGTTCCACGTTCTGCTGTGGGCCGAGCGGACCGGCTGCCTGCAGACGCGGGCGAGGGCGCTGTACGACATGAAGGAGGCGCGGCATACCCCAGACACTGCCCACCTCACTGCCACCTAGTATCGCACGTCGGGCGGAGAGAGAGAAGCCAGCCGAACCGCAACAGTCCGCGCTGGCTTTTGGCGAGTCACTTGTAGTGAGCGTCGGGTTGGTGGCGACACCGAGTTAGTAGGTTTACCTTACCGCTTGGCTTGCTCTGCAGGCGCGCGCGCGCACCTCGCGGATCGAGTGGCACCGCTGGCTGCATGTCGGCTACACTGGCGGCTGCATGTCGGCTGCACTGGCGGCTGCGGTCGGCCTCGAGAGCAGGGAAGGGGTGACGCCCATTTCGCGGCCGCTCGTGCCGACCGCGCCACAAGGCCTGCCTCCACGCCTCCGCCGCCCACAGCCGGGCCCCCTCGCCTCAGCGGCACGCTCGGGCGGGGAAGCGGGCAAGCAGGAGCCGTAGAGCAAACCGCAGATAGTTTTTTAATGACGGGGTGCGATCCCCTCTAGAAAAAGTAATATATCTTTACTTCCAACACCCGGACGTTCCCAGGGTGATGAAGGTTTGACGCACCCCCGGACTGGGCATAGAAATCCCTGGAGCACGCTGCTGGGCACTCTACCCCGCCCCCACTTGCCCTGACTGCACAGGATAGCGTGCCCCGACGAACGGCGACACACAGCGGGGGACACTGCGCCGGGGGGTATGCCTAACTTTGGTGCTTTGTGTGGGTCGCGTTCCCATGGTAGCTGTGTGGCTGAAGCCCTCGAGCCTCGTGCCGCTCTGGCGTGCCCCCTGAGTCTGTGGGAGAGGGGGAAGAACCAGCTCTCTATGGGCTCTACTCCAACAGCAAAAGCCGTACTACACACACCACAGCCAGCACATGGGCGGGCAACACAGGCAACAGCCCCCGCGCCCGGACACACCACGCCAGCACATTTCAAGCTACGCCCCCGCGAGACCTTCCGCTTACCGTCCCATCTCGACGAGTGCCTGCCGCTCCTCGGCCGCGGCCGTCCGTGCGCCTACTGCGAGCTGCTTGTCTTCAACAGTTGCCCAACCGCTCTGCTCGTCCGCAACCTTCGCGCGTGTCGGCTCTCCTAGCCAGTACGCGACGCACACAGCGACGGCGCTGAGCCAGGCGTCGGTGGCTAGATAGACCGTCGCCGCCTCGTCTGCGTTGGCGCTCGGCCACAACAAATGATGCAGCCCGCACCGTCCCGGCAGCAAGTACATGAACGCGGCCATGTGCACGAGCCAGAGACCATTAAGCAGCCACAGCGTCGCCGTCAGAAGGCGTAGCGTCGTGCCGGCCGCCACAGGTACGCCAGCATCGTGAGCCACCGAGCAAACTACACTGCACAGGCCGAGGGCGAGCATGCTGCGGCCTTGCGTGATGTGGAACAGGACGGCAATGGGCTGAGGGTCGTGTTGGTGCTGTGTGAGGATGTGGCCGAGCACAGCCAGTGCAATCGGGTCGTGGAGCCGACGCATCGTGCTCAGCCTCGCGGCGGCGCGCGTCCAGCGCCTCTCGGTGGCGATCGCAGCGAGCATGGCCAACAGGGCAAAGGAACCTGCCGCCGCCTCGATGGCAACGTGCGCGAGCATGTGCACCGACTTGACAGGCGAACAGCTCGATGGCCCGTGGTGACAAAACTCACCAAAGAGGAGGAGGGCGAACGCCGCCGCTCCGAGTCCGCCCTGCCACTTGCTCACGGCCACCGGGCCGCCGTCGCCTGAGAGTGCGGGCGAGGCGCAGCCGGCGAGCATGATGCCGATCAGCGCGTGCGCCCAAAATTCGCCTGGCAGGCCGAGCGAAAGCTGGTGCACCGCGGCGCCAGTGCCAGCCAGCAGCGCAACCGTTGCCACCCCAGGGTGCGGCGCAGCAACAAAGAGTGGGCCGGCGACGACGGTCGTGAGCAATGCATACCACGCGGCCGGGCCGAGGGCGCGACCGTCGCACATCGCGACCGGGCTGGCGGTGGCCTCGTCGAGCGGCATGGTGTGGTGAGCGGCCGCCATGGCGAGGGGGCGCGCGGGGGCAGGCGGCGGGCGCCCGGGCCCCGAAAAGCCTTAGCTGTACTGGAAACCAGACCGTTTTGAGTAACCGGGGAAGCCGCGGTGGCATCTCTTTCCACCCAAGAAGCCCGTTTGGAGGGATGGGCGGCAGTGTGCGGGCGGTGAGTGCTAGTCCTCTCATCAAAATTTAGAACGAAACGCCCCTCGCTCCCTTCTTCCCTCTACTAGCTGAGGGGCTCGCTAAACGCTCGCCGAGCTCCATGCTGTGCAACACCACCTCCTCACTAATCGTCAGGGGCGCGGAGAGCGCAGTGCACTACGGTGAGGCTGCGCAGCGGGGGCTCACCCCCTGCACCGCGCTCTCAGCGGCGTAGGGGAGGGCGGTCGGTGGCGGCGGCGGCGAGGCGCGAGGCGGTGGCGGCGGTGGTGCGGGCGGCGGGATGACAGGGGAGGCGGCGGGATTGACAGGGGAGGCGGCGGCCACGAGCGGAGCGGCGCGAGAAGGGGGGGGGGCGGCGGCGAGGCGCCGGTGAGCGAGGCGCCCGCGCCATCAGAGGGACGCGCCGCTGCGAGATGGAGGGCGGCGGTGACGGAGGCGAGGCGCGAGGCGGCGGCGGCGGCGGCGGCGGCGGCGGCGGCGGCGGCGGGTCTCGGTGAGCGGCGGCGGGAGGAGGAGCAGCGGCATCGGGAGGAGGAGCAGCGGCGGCGCTCGCTCGCTGTTGACGGGAGCGCTTTTGAGCCTGGGAGCCCATGCCACTGCGACCGGCGTGCCCGGGAACGGAGATCGCGCGCGCGCCGCCACTCACGACGCGCGCGCGATCTCCGCGGAGTCGGGTCCCCAGAGGGAAGCGGTCTTCTCGGCCGACGTCCAGCGGCGCGCAAGGAAGCAGGCGCAGCGGAGGCGGCCTAGCACCGGCTCGGCGCCGGGCGGTTGCGCTGCCCGCGAGCCGCGTCCTGAGCCTCGGCAGCGCGCTGCGCGGCGCGGCGCTCGCGCTGCTTCTGTGCCGAGAGCGGCATGATTCGCCAGCTGAAGCTCCAGACTCCTCGGGTATCACGAGTTCTGGGGGTCACGATTTGCGCAGGTTGAGGGGAAATTGGCGTAAGCGTCTGAAAGCAGTCTTGGGTGGTACTTCTAGCTGAGACGCGCGCCCCGTCGAGCTCACGGCGGGCGCGCTGCGGTCGCACGCCTCCCAAGTCAGGAAGTCATATGCCACGGCGTGCGATCTAGATTCAGCACACGCGCCTCTGCTCGCATTGTCGCATACACTTACACATGAATTGAGAGAAGGTCCTTATCAGCTCTGCCGCCATTCGGGCCTCCCTCCCGGCCTGCTGCGGCGGCGCGGCCGGTCGAGGCCGGGCTCGGCCCGGCCCGCGACGGCTGGCCGCCGACGAGCGCGCTCGCGCTGCTCGTCAAAATGGCGGCGGTGGCGATTGCGGCGACGGTCGTTCAGTCGTACAGCGCTCAGGCGTCTGTCATCTGTCGTCTGTTGTCGCATTTCGCACACGCGCGCCGCGCGACCCGGGTTGTTCCGCGAGGGCATGAGCTTTCCGGGATTCGATCCGGCAGACAAAAGCTGCTCGCTGGAACCGGAGCAGGGGGACATCGTTTCCAGGGAGGGGGGGGTATTTCTTTTTAGGCCCCACCCCCCCCTTAGCATGTGGTGAAGCCTCTGTGGGGGGGGTGGGACCCCCCCCCCCCCCCTAGCATGTGGTGTGGAGAGAAGTGCGCCCCCCTCCCTGGAAGCGGTGTCCGCCTGCTCCCGCGGCCGACTCTACCATCGCGGCCGCACAGCTGTTGATCTCTCCAGAAGACTAGTGCCTCATCTGCTGCCTCCCTGCGGATGCTGCCGGCGAGCCTGGCGGTCCGCTGTACTACAAGGAAGTGCTGACTCGATTCTACCTCGAATTCTTCTACCCCCACGACTCGGAACGCGAATGTGACAGGACCATCGGGTCCTTCAGCCACCAAAGTGACAAACACCAGGCCCCAAATGACGTGTGAGTGTTAGAGTTGTTGGTATTGCTAAAACTCTTCTTCTTCTTCCAAAGTGAGATCACCCGAGAGCAGCTGAGCCTGCCTCTGGCCTCGCCTCCCTCTCCTTCAGGCATTCGTGGCATCCTATGGGTCGTCCAGAGTATCGACCTCTGGCTTGTCAGCCAGCCCCACTTTGAGGGCGCCATCCATGAAGTACAGCGATCGCCACCTCGCTGGCCTCTCCGCAGGCCCCCCCGACCGCGTCGAACTCATCGGCGCGGGCTACGCGGACCCGTGGGACGGCCAGCGGGGCCCGTTCTTCGAGCGCAATTGGCTCCCCGACATGCTGAGCGGCCTCGGTGGCGTCACCGCTGGCGGGCCTCGGCTTATAGCACGAGGGGCGGCATCCTTTAGCTTGTCGCGCTTTTTTTATAGAGCACCAGCCACCACTAGTACCGGCCGCGTTGGTCGACACTGGAGAGTCAGGAGCTCAGGACACAGGAGGGCGCGTCGGTGGCGGCATTCCAGAGATTAAAAACCAAAGCCCCCCAAATCTCCGGTTTTTCTTCTGCCCACTACTTCTCTCTTCTACCTGGAGAGTGGTGCGACCTGCGACCGCCGGGACCGGGCGGCCGGCCGTCCCGTTCTGATCTCTCGGTTAGTGGGGGGCCGGGGCCGCCCAAGGCCGCGGGCGGGCGGGAAGAACTTACCGCGCCACATGACTAGCTCTAACACGCTGAGCGCCACGAGACGGTCCTACCTGTACTGCTACTCGACCGCAGCCGAGGGCACTGGAGCCTCCATGTCGAGTCTCGAAATCCGTCTACTCGTCGTCGCGCTTGCGCTTGCGGCCCGGCTCCTCCTCCGCCGGGTCGACGCCCGCGCAATGCATGTTGAACTTGACAAGGGCCTCGGGCGCGAGGGCCGCAAAGTCGGCGCGCTTGACCACTGCGCGAGAGGGGGCGGGGGTGTGCGCGAGAGGGGGGGGGTGAGTCGGCGGGCTGTGATCAGTCTTGCGTTGGCCCTCCCTCACCGTTCGCCATGTTTGCCTTCATGAAGGCGAGGCAGTTGCGCTCGAGCTCGGTGGCGCCGTAGACGTGCGCGAGGCTGAGGAGCGAGCACGCCATCTCGCAGGACAGCTTGTCGCACAGCTGCCCCTCCGCCCAGCGCAGCAGCCGCAGCACGCCGTACTTGTGCGCCGCGGCGAGCACCGCCTGCAGCTGCGCGATGCTCTGCTCCGCCGCGCCAGAGGAGGCGCCGCCCGAGGCAGCGGCGCCCGAAGAGGAGGAGGAAGCCTCCGACGAGCCCTCCTCGCGCAGCACCTTGAGCACCTCGTCAAAGTCGTCCGTGTACAGAAAGTGCAGCAGCGCCTTGAGCGCGGGCGGCGGCACGTCCGTCACCTGTCCACAGCTGGAAAACGCATAACGACACCGCTGACATTCGGCCGCCGAGTCCCAACTGTGTCACCGTGAGCGTGCGCGTGGAGCTCTCGCGCATCTCGTGCGAAAAGGCGGCCGCGAAGACGTCGCTGCGCTGGCTGAGGATGATTGTGTGCGCGCTGAAGGCGACCGGCGCAGCCTCGCCGAAGGCGGCCTCGATGGTGACGTCGGAGTGACGCCCCTCGGTGAGGAGAGAAAGAAAGTCGGCCTGGAGCGTCGGCGGCGGCACCTCGACTGACGGCGGCTTGTGCTCGTAGACGACGTCCGTTTTCCCCACTCGGATCTGCCCGCCGCTGGGGTGCTCCTTCATGACCGCCTCCTCGATGCACACCTTGAAGCAGATCGAGTCGTCCTTGACCCACTCGCTGCCGAGAAGCTCGTCGAAGGACAGGCCAAAGAGCCCCTTCGAGTCACTGTGCAAATCTGGACCGCCAACGAAGCAGGCGGGCTCGTAGCCCTCGCGCGCGGGGACGGCCACCCGCGTCGCCTCCCCCAGCGGCTGGAACTCTAGGCTCGCGTCCCGCACGAAAAAGCGGTAGCACAGGTTGGTCCCGTAGTCGTCCGCCCTGCGAATGAGTGCAAGGGTGCCGCGAGGAATGGAATCGAAGACCTGGTAGTCATCGTCCGCTTCGTGCTCCAGGCTGCCGCCGCGCGGGCTGAAGACGAGCATGTACGTCGAGTAGCCGTCCGTTGGGTCGACCTGGAAGATGTTGCTGTTGGTGCACTCACGCCCCTCCTGCGTGAGCTGCTGCTCGAGCCAGGAGAGGCCCTGCACTTCCCAGACAAACTCGTGCTTCGCCACGTTGCTCGCATACGTCACGGTGGATTTGGCCAGAGCGGAGGAGGAGGGCGGCCGCTTCTGCTCAGTTGGCCGAGGTGCGCCAGGCATGTTCTCCGCTAGGTCGTTGTCGATTGTCCTCCGCTGACCGCGAAGGCTTAAAACTTCGCCGCGGACGGCAGCGTTCGCGTATCTCTCTTTCTCCAACTCGCGCCGCAGCCGCTGCCGCTCCCGCGCTTCTGCGACTTCGTTGTCAGCGGTGGCCCTGTCGTTTATGAGGGTGGCTCGCAACGCACGCTGCTCCTCGATGCGCGCGCGAAGCTCGTGTGCGGTGAGGTGCTCGTCGCCGTCTTCCATCGTCACTTCCGCGCGCTAACGCACTTGAGGCCGCGCCGGCGCACAACGGACCGGCCGCAAAAAAGAAAGAAGCGAGCTGGCCGTTGTGCGCGCGCGCGCACGCACACAGAGAGAGAGAGAGAGAGAAAAAAAACCGCCAATGGCCGTTATCCGTTAGTGCGGACGTCGCCGCGGCTCGCCTCTGCCGCGGCGGCTGCTGCGCGCACGCGGCGGCGCCGCTCTCTCGCGAGACGGCTGGCGACGCGGCTCGCCGCCGACGTACGGTGCGCTCGTCCGACGGTCCGCAGCGTGGCGTGCGCGGCGCTGAGCGCCGCTCTGCGAGCGCCTCTGCGCCTGCACTGCCTGTCTCTGTTGCTGCTGGTGGTGGTGGTGCTGCTGCTGCTGGTGCCGATGCTGCTGCTGGCGCGGCGCGGCTGTGCGAATGGGCTCGACGCGCGCGTCGCGAGCGTCTGACGCGGCGGGCGGCGTCGGGCAGGTGCGCTTCTCTCTCGGGTGGTGGTGGTGGTGCTGCTGCTGCTGCTGGTGGTGCAGATGCTGCTGCTGGTGCGGCGCGGCTCTCCGACGCGACTCGATGCGCGCGTCGCGGCTATCTGACGCGGCGGGCGGCGTCGCGGGCGGCAGCGATCGCGGCTCGACGGTGGAGGTGGAGGCTGGTGGCTGGAGGCTGTGCTGGTGGACCTTTGACTAACTCTCACCCGCCGCCGCTCCGACGGTGAAGCGGATCGACGACTAGTTCGTGCTCGGACTGCCTCGCAGTCAACCCGTCGTGCGACAGGCCGTCTAAGCCTGGCGCCGACCCGGTGTTTTGACACCCAAACACTCTACCTTAAGCTCCTGAGGGGCGCGTGGTTTTAACCACGTAGTAGGACTACAACCCACCACAGACACCCTCCCCACTCCTCACGTGTACACACTCCCTCACCCTCTCCTCTCTCCTCTCTCTCTCTCTCCTCTCTCTCTCTCCTCTCCTTGTCTGTGCTGTCTGCCTGACTCAGGCACTAACTCTGCCGATGCGTGATTGTGTGTGGGCTGCT